TCTTGCCTTTAACACGGTGTGATTTGTTTTGGTCCGGTCTGTTCTCTACTCTGTTGGCCATTTTAGTTAGCTTCTGCTGCTATTTGTATCTGTACTTCTATTTTATGTTTTCCTGTCTGCTGTGCATGTTTGTTTTCTCTTGTACAGCACTTTGGTTGGCCTTGTTGCTGTTTTAAGTGCTCTATAAATAAATTGGTATGGTGTGGTATTAACCTTTATTTAATCTGGCAAATCCCACTGAGATTACGAATATTTTTTCCGAGGCCTGAAGGCAAATCAAACACGCGTGCTGTTGGGCTGCGGGAGGGAACCGGAGTACCAAACACAAACATGAGCTGCAACTGTAACAAACATGAAAAGTTAAATGAATTTCACCGACACGGATCAAGCAGGTGCAGCTGCAGTTCTCGGCTCTCTGGCGCCACCTGCTGGTAGTTTGACACAGCTGCACGCGAGGGTTCATCAGGCGCGCGCACCGCTCCACCGGCGGCAATGGAAACGGTGAAGGTAGGAACAACATCGGTTTAAAGTGATATTTATATAAATGATCTAATCCATAAAACCTGTCACAGGTGTGTGAGCACTGTTGGTGTATTTTGTGAAGGTTTTATCGTGTTTGTGTCGAAATAACGACTTTATGAAGAAGATTAGCTCCGGTTAGCATGCTAAGCTAACTGAAGCTAACGGCTGCTAGTTGTTTTTCTGAGTCGAAGGTTTTTTATCTTTTTGTCCTGAACAGATCCGTGCATGCAACTGTCCCACACACTGATGAAATATTGTGTGCTGTTTATTATACCAGGTAGGCTCATGTGTATAATATATAAAAATGTGTTTTAAAAATGTTTTACTGTCATAACTGCCAGTTACTGTTAATCTACTGTTTTCATACTGTGTTTTGTACGTTTTATGGGAAAAGAAAACATGTTTTGCTCTAAAATGTAAAATTGTTCCATGAATATATTGAGGAAGACAAAACAACAAATGCATAAAAAGAAATGAAAAGTGATATTGGAAGCTGATGGAGATCCCTGCACACATTCGATCTGGTATAACAGCACATGAATCAATTGTGTGCTGTTATACCAGATCCCTGCACACATTCGATCTGGTATAACAGCACATGAATCAATTGTGTGCTGTTATACCAGATCCCTGCACACATTCTGTCAGTATGTGTGCAGGGATCTGGTATAACAGCACACGAATCAGTTGTGTGCTGTTATACCAGATCCCTGCACACGAA